AGAAGCAGCACGGCAGAGGGCACGGGAGGAGATGCAGTGCAGTGCAGGGCAACTGAACTGACAGGATTCTGTGAGAGCAGCTGTGCAATCAGCTGCCCCTGTGACTGGGCCACCCACTTAGCTGCCTCCAGCATGCCCGCGTGTGCATGTCTGCGGGTGGAGGAAAGAAGGGAGGGAGAGAGCGAGGGAGGGAGGGAAGATAGGGAATGCAAACGGGGTGGGGAAGATAGGACGAAGGGAACGAGCGCTGAGGAAGACAGACATCGGGTAACGAGAGGGTTTGATGATTCAGTTCCGAGCCTAAATTAAGCTGCTTATGCCCATGCCTAGATTTCTCTGCGGTCCAACGTCTCAACCCCACTGCCTTGCTACCTCATCACCGCACCTCCTCCTCCTCAATATGAACCAGCCCACCACCGCATGGCACGGCCCCAACACCCAACGCACCCGTCAGTCCAGTCCCACCCACCCACCAACCTCACCACCCCACTGCCCCACTACCTCATCGCCATATCATCCCATCAACCAGCCACGCACCAGCCCACTAACCCACCACCCTGCCACCCCACGCACGCACCCGTCAGCAAAAGCAGCAGCGTGCGAGCAGAGGTCAGTGAGGACGTCAGCAGGGTGCGAGGTGCCGCGCACGCCCACCACCACACAGCGCCTCTCCTCCGTGCTTGTGCTGGTGAACATGGATAAAACGTCATTCCAGTCCCACCCACCAACCTCACCACCCCACTGCCCCACTACCTCATCGCCACATCATCCCATCAACCCTCCACGCACCCCACCCCACCAACCCACCACCCCGCCCCAGGCCACGCACCCGTCAGCGAAAGCAGCAGCGTGCGAGCAGAGGTCAGTGAGGACGTCAGCAGGGTGCGACGTGCCGCGCACGCCCACCACCACACAGCGCCTCTCCTCGCTCACCGCCACAAAGTGCGCTGGCCGGTGCACTGCGGACGTGCCCACATGCCTGTGGATGGCGCCCTGGGGGATCTGGCGAGGGGTGTGGGGTGCGGGTTGTGGGTTGTGGGTTGAAGATTCAAATGGGAGGAGTGGGGAGCGGGGCAAGAGGCCTGGAGTGCCGCGCCGCGCACGCCCACCACCACACAGCGCCTCTCCTCGCTCACCGCCACTGACGACGTGCCCACATGCCTGTGGATGGCGCCCTGGGGGATCTGGAGGGATGCGGATTGGAAGATGGGGACGGCTAAGGGAATCTTGGAATGGGAGAAATGGGGGTCAGTGCACTGCGGATGTGCCCACATGCCTGTGGATGGCCGCCTGGGGGATCTGGCGAGGGGTGTGGGGTGCAAAGTGTCTTGTGGGGGGTGTGGGGCGTGATTTGTTGTGGGTTGCGGATTGTGGTTCGAAGGGTGTGGTGAGAAGCGTAGGATGGGAGGGAGGAGTGGGGAGAGCAGGAGGCCTTGAGGCGATGGAGAGGGGTTGGCAGTGTGACATGGAGGCAAGAGCGCAGGCAGACTGCGATAACAACAATGACAACCATGGCCATGGCCCATGGTGACAATGAGCCATGCAATGAGTTGTCCACACTCCCTGCCAAGCTTTCCACTGCTTGCTCACTGATCTCTCATATCCCATGCGATGTCAGCAAGGCTTGACTAGCTGTCATGCAACCATGTCGGATTGCAACAACCAGTTTCACACGAACATGCATCCAGCACAACCGCCACGCGTGCAGAATATTCGCACGACTGCATGAAATGAACCAACATGTGGGTGGGACGCTCTGAAGAGCTTGAACGAACATGAACTCAACCAGTACATGCTTGTCACGAGTTCATGCTCCCGTCTCGTATACCCATGGATGAATGCATTTATTTGAGCACTCACCCTGAGATGTGTCGCAAGGGCAGCAGCGTCTGTCTCATATGCTGACATGGCCCACCGCAGCCAATGAAGCATCTCCTCCAGATCATTCCTGGTGAGGAAAACACGGCGTGGAGGAAGAAATATGGGAGGATGACATGAATCAGAAAACGACCAACACTTTGCATCAGAGCAGAGAGCATGGCATGACAGCTACAAAGCGGCAAACAAGGAGCATGGTTCGTTCCTCATTCCCTCGCTCCGTCAATCTGTCTCTCCTTCTCCTCACTCATAACATTCCATCATCCCGATCCTCATCACCATCACCGTCCCCATCACCACCCGCACCCCCACCTCCATCCCCACTTTCAACACCCTCCCCATCCCCATCCCCCTCCCCCTCCCCCTCTGCCCGTCCCGCGGGTCGCCATGGCCACGGCCACCTGTTGCGGACGACGTCGCCGTTTGAGGCGCCTCAAAACCCATCCCCGTCCCTCGTATCGCGATTCCCACCGGTTGCGGACGACGTCGCCGGGGATGGCGTCGACGTCTTTCCCGGCGGCGTGCTTGAGGCTCAGCCGGTACAGCCCCAGCGTCAGGTCCTCCAGCGACCACCCCGCCATGCCGCCCGCCGACTGCCGCAGACTCGCCGCCACGGCCAGCAAGCTCGGCGTCGAAGCCATCCCGCCGCCTCCGCCGCAATCGGGCCGGCTGCTTGCCTGCTGAGGGACGCTGGCAGCGCGGCTTGCCAAGTGTCGTGGGCGCAGGAGACCGGCAAAACGAGGGGTTTGTTCTACCGATCGTTAAGAAAAGGGAAGCGGCGGCATGAGGAGAGCAGCGACAGAGGCAATTGTTGTGTGTGGAACCTTCGGCACAACGAAGAGCAAGTGCCGTCATGTCATAATGCATTTAGTTTGCACCACACGGGTGTAACACGGGATCAGTGCAAAAGTCTTAGACATTGACAACGAAAGAGGGACATTTGTTTTTGTTCTGTTCTGTCGAATCAGGTGTACGCTGGCTCGTTGATTTTTTAACGAAGCAAGCTATATTGTCCCTCGCCTCGCCGCCCTTCTGTTCCTCCAAACCACGTCCGCAGGCTCACAAACCCCCCACCTGGGTTCTGGAAGTTCCTCTTCGTCTAGAGCCGGCGTGACCGTCGACGTCCGTCAAGTTCGAGAGATCTTGTTCGTCGGATCTCGGATCCCAACGACGGGTGTGTGTCGAAGGTCAGTCAGTTCGGTTCGGACACGCTCTGACAGCCTGAGCGTCCCACAAATTTGCGGCCAATATCATTGATACTCAAAGTATGGCTGAGAAATTTTGCATCGGTACTCAACCTCGATTTCTCATCGCTGATTGGTCCTCTCTTTTCAATCACACTTTCTCACTAATTACTCCTCCGAAATGTGACAGAAACAAAACGCGATTACCTTAGTTAAATGTTAACAATTGTGTCGAGGTGCTACACAATAAATAAAAATAGTATCAAGCGCAAATTACGTTAAAAAAATATTGGGAAAAAGGATGCAGACTGGGAATAATTCAACGGAATGGGGTCGACGGCACTGTCAACCCTCCATCGACCATGGACCTGCAGACATAAAACAGAAAAAACTAAAACCACATCAAATGGCATGTTATGTAACGGAGGCATCAACCTTGAATGTCATGCGACAAGGTTGATGCCATCCGGAATGAATGCCTTTCCGTATGGAGCTTATTTCTAATTGCTTGTGGGCAGCAAGCTCTACTGGATGGTGTCGTTTCTTTGTTGAGATAATCTAATCGGAAGGCATAGTTCATACTTGACGGCTCATTAAAGGCTAATATCCAAGCGTTATAGTATTTTTCCGGTTTTGTTGGGTACGTGAGGTTGAGGTGCTGGTGGCGAATTTGTTTTAGAATTGTTCTTAAAACTAAATTTACCATGAAAGTGTAGTTACTATACCGAGAGAATGTTAGTTGATTACGTTTGCGAACCGCGCCTGACATAATCTGAGTATCAATGATATTGGCCGCACAAATTTGGGAGCAGGGCATTGCCCTGTTGATCTGTTTAGGCTCGGACCGAGCGTAGATTCAAGCACGGTGAAATTCATTTTTGCGACGAATATACCGTCAGGTAAGCTCGATCGTCGAAGTCTTGGCCGGACCTGTCTGGTCTGGTTCGGCCTGGCTGTCCATGTTGCCTGGCCAGCAAGCATCTGCTGAAGACCAGCGGCTGGCTGACCATTTTTTCCCTCCATCGGGATTGCCGCCAGGCTCCCTCGGTCGAGTAAGAGCCCCCACTCTTGTCTCGTCTCGTCTTGTTCTTCTGCTCTTCTACCCTCACGAATGGTCGGCACTTGGACTTTATAAAACTGCCAAGGCTGCTCCAAGACTGCGTTTACGGTTAGCTCCCGTCCCGAGCGCCATGGCTGCGACGTCTCTCGTCGACGCGTTAAAGTCCGCCGCTCTTCGCATTCTCGACTCCGCGTCTCCCGCCGTGCTGGCCAGCGCAGGGCTATCCAATCACACCAGCGACGCCAGCTCATCCTGGTCTGCACCCGCCTCTCTCCATCGCGCCACGTCAGCTCTCTGGTCGTCTGCCATCAACCGAACCGGTGCAGGAAACGCGGGATCGTGCGCCGAATGGCCAATGGAAACGGATCGACCGATTTTAAAAGCTCGTCGGGGTCCTTTCCTGCATCTTGGTCCTTCGATGCCTCCTCCTACCCCTCCTTAACGTCGTCCCTTGCGCACGCTGCACGTTGCGGCTATTCTCGTCGAGTCGCGGAGGCGCAGCAAGGCGGGATCTTGGCGCCATGGCAGATCGCGGCTCTCGCCTGCGGTGTGGTTTTCCTCGTGCTCGCGCGCTCGCTAAAGCTCACCGTACGCTTGCGCCGAGTGCTGCAGCCGTTTGTAACGCGTATGGTGGAACGAGGCACGGCGACGGTTGTTAGCATTCAGGTAATGAATGGAAAGATGGTATTGAATGAAAGGATGAGCGCTTTATTCCACTAAAACACGTCAATGTTGGTCAATGTTTCTTATTATTCCAGAATGACGGCGCCCCTGTTCCATAGTTTCCTTCCCGGCCTCGTTTTGTTTTTCATTAATTCGGCTGAGAGGCAGAACTGGTGGCGAGCGGAAAGGTAGCTTTCAAGTGGGCTCGAACGTAGGTGGTGCTTCGTCGAGTTCACTAGTGTAATGCGAGACATTCGGGAGTGCTTAGTGCTTTGTGCTTTCCGCCTTGTGCTCTGTCCGCACGCAAGTCTCCTCTTCGCCTCGTCACAGCTGCTTCGTGTAGGTTCGGCCGTGAGCCGACCCGAGCATCCCAAGGCGAAGTTACACGCCTGAGGCGCGCTTGGTTGGTAGCGCACGTGTGCAGACAGAGGCGAGGTCTTTCTGTGGTGGGATGCTCGAGGGACGAGGCGCGACATGCGTTGATATCGCCATATCGTCCTTAGCCGTAGGGCAGATCGGAATAGAAGAACGAGGATGAAGAGCAGCGACCGAAACGGCGAGGCGAGGCTGGGAGGGCGAGAGGGAAAGTTAAGAGACATAAGCAAAGGAAAGTGGCAAGATGCGCAGAGGGAGAGCGGACATAGATGCACAGAGTCGCGCATTGCTTGGACAGCTGACACCAATCCATCTACCCCAATCTCCACCTATCTCCATCCCGTCTCCGCCCTGTCTGTCCGCTCTCTCGGTGTGCGCGCAGCGCTACCGGCGGCCATGGCTGGACGCGTTCATGTCGTTCATGGCCATGGCGGTCTCCGTGGAGTTCTACACCGCCTTCCTCCCCGTCCTCTTCTGGGTACGCTCCCTCTCGCCCGCTCTCGCTCCTCTCGCTCCCTCTCGCTCCCTCTCGCTCCCTCTCGCTCCTCCCCCGCTCCCTCCCGCTCCCTCCCTCTCCCTTCCGCCCGGCTCCCGCTCCTCTCTGCTCGCTTCCGCTTCATCCCGCTCCCTCCTGCTCCCTACCGCTCCCCCCCCTTCTTCTCTATACGTATCGCTCTATTCGTTTATGCATCCGTGCGTCGTCTATCTGTCGATCGTTTTGTTGTCTTTCGTCCTTTCCTGCTCGGTATGTGTCTCCGTCGTACTACTCCCCTGCCTGGTCCTCCCACAACGACTCGACTATCCCGTCGTCCTCTGCTCCCCGCTCCCCTCCCTCCCTCCCTCCCCTCCCTCCCTCCCCTCCTCCCTCCCTCCTCCCTCCCTCCCTCCCTCCCTCCCTCCTTCCCTCCCTCCCTCTCTCCCTCCCTCCCTCCCCTCTCCCTCGCTCCCTCCCCCTCTCCCTCGCTCCCTCCCCCTCTCCCTCGCTCCCTCCCCCCTCTCCCTCGCTCCCTTCCCTTCTCCTTGCGCCCACCTTCGCAGTCTGGCAGGCCGTATCTCGCGTCGCTGGCCGTCTTGCTGCTCGCTCTCTGCACATACGCGGGGAACGCACTCAAGGTGCGTGCGCTGTCGCCTCTACCGCTCGCGCGCCCGCACACATACACACACATACGCGTCGCAAAAGCATTTCGTGCGCGCATTGTGCCTCCGCATGCCGTAGCACCGCACTGCACTCCTCGTTTACGTCCTTGCGGATGTTCTGCGGTGTGGACTGTGCCGCGTGATACGAGTAGGTGCACGTTCGGCCACTCCCATGCGTGTATCGTAGCCACACCTGTGCTGTGAGGCCAGGCGATCAAGTCCTTGTACACGTGTGCATGTCCGTGTGCTGGGTGCATGTGCTGGGTGCGTATGCGCGCGTGTGTCTATGTGGTGGTGTGCCTCCACATGCATGCATGTGTGTGGTTGTGTGTATTTGTGGATGCTTACTCGCATGCGCATGAACAGGACGTGGTGGCAGCGCCGCGGCCGCTCTCCCCGCCAGCGCAGCGGGTCACGGGCACGCACATGGACGCGCAGAGCAGCTTCGAGTTCGGCCTGCCCTCCTCGCACACATCAACACCATCGCACTCTCGCTGTCAGTGCTCCCCATTCTTCCCCTCTCTCGGACCTCTCCGTCGCCCTCTCCCCATCTCCACCTGCCAATTCGTTTCTTCTTCTTTCCTTTCCTCTTGTCCGTGTGCGCCCCGCCCCCCTCTCCCTTCCTCCCCACTCCCTCCATGTTCCTCTCTCTCTCTCTCAAGCAGTCATGCATTGATGTTTGGCAAAAGGGTACAACCATGCAGGATAAGGAGCTGGCCGGTAGGCTAACCTAGTCAGGCCACATGGGGGGTGGATAAACCTGCCTGCAAACGAACAACCAAACAAAACAAAACAAAACCAGCAATGTGAGGCTCCGGTAGTTCATTAAGAGGCCACAGCCATGACGGCCCGGCGATCCCAGTTCTCTCTCTCTCTCTCTCTCTCTCATCTCTCTCTCTCCTCTCTCTCTCTCTCTCTCTCTCTCTCGCTCTCTCTCTCTCTCCCTCTCTCTCTCTCTCTCTCTCTCTCTCTCTCCTCTCTCTCTCTCTCTCTCTCTCTCTCATCTCCTCTCTCTCGCTCTCTGCTGCACGCGTCTGTCTCTGCTGCACCCATGCCTATGCTGTCCCTTCCTTCCTTCTGGATACCTTTCCTGTTCTTTTCCCCCTCCTTCTCCTCTTTCACTCTCTTACCCCGTTTCCCCCACCTTCCTGTATCCCCTTTTCCCCCTTCCCCTCGTCCCCCTCGGCTCCTCTCCATGCAGCTATCTGCTGCTCTTCCTGTGCCTGAGGGAGGGCATAAGCGCGGCTGCGCTGCTCCCCCTGACCACAGTCGTTCTGGCTGTGGTGGTGATTGTCGTTGGTGGTGCGTGCTCTCCCACCCTTACCTCCCCCCTCACCACTCGCCATTCGCCCTTCGGCCTCGCCCCTAGCCCTCGCCCATCTCCCCCTCTCGCTTCTCTCCTCGCCCCCTCTCCCTCTCGCCCTCGTTGCACTCACCCGCGCACTCTCCCCGTCTATGCACCGTGCAAACCTCCTGCCGGTGACACGCTTTGCTTACCAACGCCCGTTAGCTCCTGCTGGTCAGAGCTGTCTGCTGCCCCACTTGCGACCTTGCTCTCCCTCCTCAACCTCCGTTCAGTCTGCTCTTCCCCTTCCGCCCCGCTCTTCCCTGTGCCTGCATATCCTGCCTCCCATCCATCCCCCCGCCTCGCCCTGTCGATCACTATCATCTCGCTACCTTCCACACATCCCCACTCTTCCTTCATGCCATCCTCTTAGACCACTTGCATAGCTCCTCCCTTTTCTTCCATCCCTGATCATCACCTTGCCCCTCTCTCCCCCTCCTTCTCCCCCCCCCCCCACCTTCCCCGCTCGCCCCGTCCGTCCTCCATTCCCCACTCCGCGCTCCCCCTCTCCACCGTCTCTCCTCTACCCCAGGCCGTCTGTACCTGGGCATGCATTCGCCCATCGACCTGGCAGCGGGCATGGCGATAGGCGTGACCATACCGCTGCTGCTGCTGTCTGTAGACATGTACATCCTGCACTTCTGGATCCACGGCCCCAACGGTGAGCTGCCGTGCTCCTTCCCCATGCACTTCACCACCACTGCTGTTGACACTGCCACTGCCCCTGCCCGTGCTGCTGCATGCGCTTTTCCCCTGGTCCGCCTTTACCCGTCGCATTAA